CAAATAAGCCGAAGAGGGCTGCCACCTACCGAACCTTAAACTAAACTGTACGTGCCAGTAACCAAAAGTTCCATACAAGTACAAGGCAACCTAATTTAAAAACAATTAAATAAGAAAACTCTGAACTTTATGAAAATTAATTAACCTGAAAGTAGGTGTAGCTGAGTTGAATGCTTCTGAACCAGAAATCATGATTCTTACTTTCTCGATCTCCTACTCATGAGCTACGACACCTACGCGCTAGCTAGCTGCCCTACTAATCGGTAATCATATATGATCACCAACCCATGTGAGCAAACGGGCCCAATTAATTATACAACCTTTACCTTGAAAAAAGAGGTCAGAGGATGGAATTAGGCATTTTGGGGAAACTTTAACCTAAAAGCACTATTGTAATTAAATATGTGGAATTTAGCTAACTCTACCCCTGTCACCCGAGGAGTTATTAATTTAGACAGCGGGGCCTAATTGTAAGCAATGTGATTAATTGAGGGATCTGATGGCAATTCTAATGATTTGGGGAACTAATTCGAAATTATTGAATATACAAGGGACTAGCAATTAAATAATTCATATTATATAAACCGAACACGATGGGTTTTCGAATATTCCGAAAGTTATGGGCCATTGTCTCATCATTTTCGAAAATTAAGGGGTTTTTCCGAAATTTAGCATTCTATTAACGACTGCATATCTTGTGGGGCCAGTGAGAGAGGCAGTTAGTTTCAATGGGCCTTAACGTTGACTTGACTAGCCTATATTCGTTTGGCCACAATGTCGACACTTGGGCCAGGCTTTTCCAATATGCATCAAGGAAAGTGGATTCTTTTTGTCCTTATCTATATGCACATTCTGTAGGCAGCAATAATTCATTTAATGTTTTGTCAGCTTATGTATAATTCTCTTACAGCTATTACATTAAAAGCTACTCATCTTCTTCTTCTTCTTCTTTTCGCATATGAATCGGGACGTGACTTTTCATGTTTTTGGAACCAGAGACGTCTGGAGAAGATAAGTGGAGGGGTAATTTTTGGTTTTTTTTTTCCAAAATACATTCTTTTTTTTTGTATTGATGACGTGTATGGACCTTGAAACATTAAATGCTACTTTTTGGGGCTGAATCACATGGCCCATAATACAAGGGACTAGGTCACATGGAGTTTCTGCTTTTGGGGCATGGATACATTTTTCCCTTTTATTATTTATTTTTTAGTAATCATGATCAAATCTTAACTAATATGGTAATTAACAAACTCTTTAAAAAGAGCATACTTATTAAAATCTAATTAATAACTTAACTAATCAGTTTCCTTCCCATCAAAGAAGGAAGCACCGGTCAACTTTCTCACCTCTCCTGGAGAGACTAGATCTACTCTAAGGCCGACAGACATCCTTGTCTACAGTTGGAGCGGGGGGAAACACGCTTGTGTTGATCTCACGGGGGTATCTCCGTTGGTGGGGTTTGGTAATGGAGTGTTCAAGGTTGGGCATGCAGCGGATAGGGCGACAGAGGCGAAGGTGGGCAAACATGATCAAGCTTGCAAGGACAACCAACATAGTTTCATCCCGTTCGCGTTCGATACATTTGGTTTCCTTGCAGCTGATGCGGTGGAGTTCCTTAGGAGGGAACAGAAATTCATGAACAAGAATGTGGCGACGGCAGGATCAGCTGAGTATGTTTTTCGTAGGTTGGGTTTTGCAATACAGAAAGGATTGGCGGCGTAGCTTGTTGGCCGCTTGTCAACATCAGATGTGTAATATTTTTCTCGTTATCAATGATATTCTCTCTTTTATACAGAAAAAAAATTGGAACATAAAAATTTGTAAATTATTTTATTATATATAATTAATATTTTAAGCGTTTGTTATAGTAAATAGGAAAAATTTTAATATGCTAAAATTTCAGAAAAGTAAATAGAATTTTTTTAAAACAATCCGACAACTATCATTATTCAAACGATTTTTTATAGTAAGAAATCCAAATTTGTTATTCATCAGTTAAAATTAATTATTTGGAATATTTATGCATTTTTTTTTAAATTGTGAAATTAATTATTTGGAATATTTATGCATTTTTTTAAATTGATGAGGTTTTCCACGTGTCACCCTTAAAATGATTTAGATTTTTGCGGACGGCCGGATGAATATTTTTCATCCAGCCAGAAATTTTAAGTAGAAAAGAGCTGATGTGATGAGTTCTTGGAGAGTTTAAGGAGAAATTAAAGGTTTTGCTTTAAGGTATACATTTATTAACATATTTATTGCCTAGAATTATAATACAAGCTAGTCTTGTTAAACGTTGAAATAAAATTCTGTTCATTCTTTTGCTAATAAAATAAACTACCATTGCAAATAATATGTGAACGATTATATCTCACGGGAAATAAGATAACATGAATCTAGTATTATAGAAACCAATTACATATATATTTGTTCCAATAAAATTAACATCATTTGCTCGTCAGCTGCATGTATTCTTGTGGGTCCCGAATCCTCTCGAAAAATGGACACCCCGGCTACAATTTTATTGCGATTAAGTTCGCTAGTTCGCGCAACTACCTAGGATTCCACCAAGGCCACCAAAATAAAACTTGAATCCTTTCTCTTCGCTAAAAAACTCCCCCACCCTATAGCAATCGCTTCTGTCGACGTAAGAACGAACTCCAGCCCTCGTCAAGTTGTAGAGCTCTCCGTGTTTATTCACGAACCGAATGTTCTGGATCGCTGCTGCTCTGCTCTCGCCTTCTTCAGGAAAGTGGCCGCTACCCATCAGAGGACTTTCCTCGTCATCGCCGAAGTCAACACTTCCACCCCAATTGATTTCTTGGGCGCTTTCAGATAGACTTTTGAATAATGTTTTCGGCCAGTAGCCTATTGGTGAATCGTCCACGTACAGCCACCAATTCTCAGTTTTCTCATCCTGTCATCATAAATCATAAAGCATATATATGTATTAAACCCAGAAAATTAAAGCTGAATAACAAAATATCATTATTCTTCATAACAATAATATTAGAAGCTTTATATCCTGTATCTTAAGAGAACAATGAAGATATTTAATTAGGATCAATTGGAAGAAGTCAAAAAGGATAATTGTATCACCTTGTAGATTTTAACTTTGACAACAACTTGGAATCCATTATATTCCGAAACTGGATAAATCTTAAATCCCGGGAGTTTGGAAGGCGTAGTAACCCGAGGCACGAAACCTTCGCATTGAAGGTTGTAGCAGCCTGTAGCTCGGTAACCATCAGCCTTGCATACAACGCGTCAAGTATGGTAAGTTTGATAATTAACATGTACTAAACATGCATTACTATATATCATCATGCATTAAGATAAAACTTACCGTCCAATAAGTGAAAAAATGAGTATCCGTATCATTGTAAAGCAACGGATATACCTAGCATACAAAACGTGAATATGTAATCATGTCTAGTAAGTGCTACAGTACGATTTCATAATTATTAATTACTCACGTGCCATCCGGCTACTATTGAATTGAAATCTCCAACTGGACCATCCAAGCCACCAACAACGTCAATAGATACTGTAGTAAACTGGTCATGTTGAACTTTTGGTAACGCGTAGACAACGAGTTCGGCTTCAGTTCCATATTGTCCTTCGCCACTTCGATATATTGCAAACTGTACATGAAATTAAATAGAAAGGGATGAGAACTAAATATGCGTTGTCAATCGAGATTTTAATTAAGTTCATAAAATGTAATTAAATAAACTGATCAATTTTAAATGACTGGCGAATAAGTCTCACATGTTCAAGACGATTAGATACGGCATTCGTAGCAAGATTATCATTAGAAGCATAATTTTTTCCTCGAAACGGAACCTTTTCTCTGCCATCTATTTTATGAGAGTCCTTGTTCTGCATCCAAAAAATATTTACAGCGTAAGAACTTGAGGTTACTCCCAAATTTTTTTTTTTTTTTGGTATACATATATAATAATGGGATGCCAAGAACAACAGTTTTATCACTAGAAGAAAATATCCATAAAAATGCATGTATTAACCAAACAACCAGTGAATTAAATTTATATACCAGAGTGGCACAATCTATATATCCTATTGGACGCAAAGAATAAGAAAAAGTATATACCATAGTGGTTCGTTTCCCTGTCTCTGTACCATCAACTCCTCCATTGCCACGAAGGGCAAGGTAAAGGAAAATAAGCCCTACACCGTAGAACTTTGTGAATGCCATTTTGTTTATTTTCTCGCTTGAGGACAAGGGTTAATTAGGCGGTCATGGTATGCAATCCTTTAATAGGATGGATACATGTATGGGTACTGAATGATTTCCATTTAGGTTTCTATAATTAAGATGGAAATATATATTATTTCGAATCTTTCTACGGATGAATTTTATACGCTTAAGCACAAGCACAAATTTTTGTTAAGGAGTTCTTTCTTTCCTTATTCTTTCCATGCTCTGTCGAGCTCTGCGTTCGAACCCCTTTTGACCTCGGCGTTTCTGGGATCCGACCTCTGCATCTGGCGATGCCAACCTTTGCGTTCGAGCGCTCCCATCATCGCGTCCACGGGCCGCTGGCGACAGGCTATCGCCAGCCCATCAATCTCGCATATAAAGCAACCCCCATGCCCTAGGGTTTCGTTGGTGTTGCTGAGCCTTTCTCCCCCCTTCCGATTTTCTCTTCTGGCGGCGGCAGTGAACTGCCCTAAAATCGCAGCAGCGATTTTCTGATTAATCCCAGCTTTCAACAGTGTTTGAGGGGGATTTAAAAGAGAGAGAGAGAGAGAGAGAGAGAGAGAGAGAGAGAGAGAGAGAGAGATCATTAAAGAAGGGGTTTTTTATATTGGGGTTATTCATTTATTCTCAAGAGAGAATTGAAAGGGTTCATACCCTTTAATTATTAACATTGTAGCTACAGTGTTCATTTGAGAGATCTCATTTTTTATCTGCTCTTATAATTGTAATTTCTTGTTTGATTAATAAGAAATTATCTGTGTGGCTCCCGAGGACGTAGGCAGTTGCCGAACCTCGTTAAAACTTGGTGTATTTTTTCTATTCTGCGTTTCTGTTGCATTAGGGGTTTCAGCGTTAAATTCCCAACAACTGGTATCAGAGTGTGAAACGATCTAGAGGAAGTCAGATTCAAGTGGGAGCCATGGCCGCAGATGAGGGAAAAATGAGACTTGAGAAATTTGATGGAACAGATTTCGGATTCTGGAAAATGTAGATAGAGGATTATCTGTATCAGAAAAATCTGTATCAACCACTATCGGGGAAGAAGCCAGATTCTATGAAGGCAGATGAGTGGAACCTTCTAGATAAACAAGCCCTCGGAGTTATCAGATTGACGTTGACTCGTAATGTTGTGTTCAACATAGCGAAGGAGAAGACCACGACGGGTCTTATGGCAGCTCTCTCAAATATGTATGAGAAGCCATCAGCCGCGAACAAAGTTCATTTGATGCGGCGGTTATTCAATCTGAAAATGGTGAAAGGCGCGTCAGTAGCACAACACCTCAATGAACTTAATACGGTTACAACCCAATTGAGTTCAGTTGAGAATGAGTTTGATGAGGAAGTTCGGACGTTGATACTGTTGTCTTCCCTACCAGAGAGTTGGAACGCTACAGTCACACCTGTGAGTAGCTCGTTGGGAAACAATAAGTTGAAGTTCGACGACGTTCGTGATTTGGTTCTCAGTGAGGAGATCCGACGGAGAGAGACGGGTGAAGCTACAACCTCTTCAGTATTGCATACAGAGTCAAGAGGTAGAAATTCAACCAGAAACGGACGAGGAAAATCAAACTTCAGAGGTAGATCAAAAGACAGGAGGTCCAAATCAAGGAATCCAAGCAACAGCTCGAAGGCTATCGAGTGTTGGAATTGTGGAAAGACCGGGCATTACAAGAATCAGTACAAGAGTGCACAGAAGGAGAAGGAGGCGAAGGCAGAGGTGAATGTCACTTCCACTTCAGGAGGAGACGACGCATTGATATGCTCTTTGGAGAGCAATGAGGAATCTTGGGTGTTAGATTCAGGAGCGTCGTTCCATGCTACCTCTCAGAAAGAATTCTTCGAGAAGTATACCCCCGGAAAACTTGGATACGTATATCTTGGTGATGATCAACCATGTGCTATTGTGGGCAAGGGTGTGGTGAAAATTAAGTTGAACGGGTCAGTATGGGAGCTAAAGGAAGTCAGGCATATTCCCGACCTGAGAAAGAATTTAATATCCGTAGGTCAGTTGGCTGGCGAAGGATATACCACGACCTTCCATGGAGGTGATTGGAAGATCTCAAAGGGCACAATGACGATTGCCCGAGGCAAGAAGACTGGTACCCTGTATATGACAGCAGGTGCACGTTGTTCGATCTCAGTTACAGCAAACAATAAGACTTCAAAACTGTGGCACCAGAGACTCGGTCATATGAGTGAGAAGGGGATAAAAATCATGCACACAAAGGAAAAACTCCCAGGACTACAGTCAGTGGAGATGGACATGTGTGAAGAATGCATACTTGGAAAGCAGAAGAGAGTCAGCTTTCAGACAAGTGGCAGAACCCTCAGGAAAGAGAAGTTAGAGCTCGTTCACTCAGATGTGTGGGGACCAATAACCACCGCATCCATTGGTGGAAAACACTACTTCGTGACTTTTATCGATGATCACTCTCGGAAAGTGTGGGTCTACTTTCTGAAGCATAAGTCAGAAGTATTTGAAGCTTTCAGGAGATGGAAAGCTATGGTCGAGAATGAGACCGGTCTGAGAATAAAGAAGCTCAGGACCGACAATGGCGGTGAGTATGAAGACACCGGATTCAAGAAGTTCTGCTATGAGCACGGGATCAGAATGGAGAGAACCGTGCCCGGCACGCCTCAGCAAAATGGTGTAGCTGAGCGAATGAACCGAACGTTGACGGAGAGAGCCAGAAGCATTCGAGTACAATCAGGCCTACCGAAGCAGTTCTGGGCAGAAGCGGTCAACACAGCAGCTTACTTGATCAACCGAGGTCCATCGGTTCCATTGGAGCACAGAATACCAGAGGAGGTATGGTGCGGAAAGGAGGTAAAACTCTCACATCTTAAAGTTTTCGGTTGTGTAGCTTACGTGCATATTAGTGATCAAGGCAGGAATAAGCTTGATCCCAAGTCAAAGAAATGCACTTTCATCGGCTATGGTGAAGATGAGTTCGGCTACCGCATTTGGGATAACGAAAACAAGAAAGTGATCAGGAGCAGAGATGTGATATTCAACGAGAAGGTGATGTACAAGGACATGCACAAGATAGATGACTCAGAGAGCGAGTCAATATTTGTGGATGCAGATGATGTCCCGAGTAACCTCTCGGAAGAACCCAATGCAGAGGATCCTCAGCCAGAAGAGCCTGCTGGACAAGATGGTGCGCAGGAGCCCGACGCACCAGCTCCGATATTAAGAAGATCTTCTCGTCCTCCTGTACCCAACAGGAGATACATGAACTATCTGTTATTGACAGATGATGGGGAGCCTGAAAGCTATGATGAAGCTTGTCAGTGTGGAGATGCGAGCAAGTAGGAGCTTGCCATGAAAGATGAGATGAAGTCTCTCATCTCAAACCAGACGTGGGAACTAGCTGAGTTGCCCACGGGTAAGAAGGCACTCCACAACAAATGGGTGTACCGGGTGAAAGAGGAGCAGGATGGTTCCAGAAGATATAAGGTCCGGCTAGTTGTCAAAGGTTTCCAGCAGAAGGAAGGAATTGACTACACCGATATTTTCGCTCCCGTGGTGAAGCTTAATACTATCAGGACCGTGATGAGTATAACTGACGTGAAGACGGCGTTTCTTCACGGAGATCTAGAAGAGGAGATGTACATGCACCAGCCAGAAGGTTTCTCAGAAGAAAAGAAGAAGAACCCGGTGTGCAGACTCAAGAAGAGCTTGTATGGCCTGAAACAAGCCCCAAGGCTGTGGTACATAAAGTTTGACGGCTTTATGCATAAGGAAGGTTTCCAAAAGTGCAACGCCGACCATTGTTGCTACTTCAAAAGATATCAGTCCAGCTATATCATCCTACTACTGTATGTTGATGATATGTTGGTTGCAGGAGCAGATATGGAGGATATCAAAAGTTTGAAGAAGCAGCTGTCAAAGGAGTTTGACATGAAGGACTTAGGTCCAGCGAAGAAGATCCTTGGAATGCAAATCACGAGAGATAAGAAGAGAGGTCTCTTGTAGTTATCTCAGACAGAGTACATCAACCGTGTTTTGCAGAGATTTAACATGGGCAACGCCAAGCCTGTGAGCACACCCTTGGCCAGCTATTTTCGTCTATCGAAGGATCAGTCTCCTCAGTCAGAAGAAGAGAAAGAGAGTATGGCTCAGGTACCTTACGCCTCAACTATCGGAAACTTGATGTACGCTATGGTCTGTACGAGACCAGACATTGGCCTAACTGGTACGTTAGATATCTATCGTAACGGTTTACAGTAACTAATACAACATTTAGTGAAAAACGTTGCCATAGACCAAATAATTGTTCATAGGCTTAATATTTGTTAATGGGTTTAGGAGTTGAGTTTGTAAAGCCCGGTCTGACCGTAACCAAATCTCTCTCTCTCAAATGAAATCCCTAAAATCCCTAAAATCCGACCGCCCCCGCACCTCCTCCCCCAAATATTTCCCTCCCCTCAAGATTCCTCTCCCGCCGGCTCGAAGTTTTTCCCGCAGATCTCGACCCCGATCCATCGCCATGTCTCAGGTTCTACAAACTCCCCTCGATTTCTCAGTCTTGTTTTTAGAGATCTCACCGCCCTTGATCTAGGGTTGATTTTCCTATTGTTTTTACTAGAAACCCTAGCGTTGCTTGGCTTAGGGTTAGGGTTAGGGTTAGAGTGTGGATATAGATTCACTACCCTGATTCTTTTTTATGGTTAGGATCACGACTCGGGTTAGTTTTAACGACTAAAGTTTAAAGGGTACTTAAAATCGGTAATTTTAGAGCATATGGCCTTAATTTGATATGTTTTGGTGTTGTTTACGAGGCCTAATTAGCCGCTAGTGTTTTACAATTATCTGGTCGTTTCCCGGAAAATGAATTTCTGCGGGTAACTTTTGTTTTGTGGGATTTTTCTTGTAGGTAAACAACCGCAATGCTTCCGCTGGAAAGCGAGCTCGAACTGATGGTAGGGCGTTGAATTTTGCTTGTTGGGACGTTGAGGCTTGTGATGAAGAATGGGCGTTGAATTTTGCTTGTTGGGACGTTGAGGCTTGTGATGAAGAATGTGTTTTGTTTTCTAGGCTTATATTTGGAAAAGGAGAGGTATTTGTTCTTTTCCCCCCTATTTTCTTTGTGTGCAATTGCGCATTGCCATCATTCAGTTTTAGAATAGGAAAATGTTATCTGGACTTCTAGGCTTAATGAAACCCTTGTCAATTGATGGCTAGTACTCTCCTATTTTTTTTACTGCATCTCATGGTTTTTTTAGTTAAAACTATAAAACGGTCTGTTATATCCTCCTCAGAATCCGAAAACAGCCATGGATGAATCATGTTAGGAAATTAGTGGACGTTCTCGTTCCAAAGGCAAAAATATGCAATCAGGTTTTTGTTTCATTGGTATAGTATTGATTGATTGAGCTGAAGCGTGAAATTTTTATCTTTTTAAAAACATGACTCTCAATATCCGATTCTTGAGAATGTTGCATAATTGATGAGGCAAGCATTTGCCATGATGTTCATGTACTAATAGAGCTGAACATTCATGATTCTGTAAGCATTTTCCATGTCGTCTACAGGAATAATCGCCAGTGTAAAGCCTGCACTGAAGTTCAAGGTAAACCACCAGGACATTTCATTGTCAATCTTTTATGACAAATGAATAGAGGGTTTTTTTCCATTTCCTTTTTTAACTTTGCCTATATTTGAGGCAGGGCTATATGATAGGAAATGGATGCACGGATGAGCAATTCGATGGGGATGCTTTTGTGCCATTTGCAAATGGAATGGGTCTTATATCAAATGATTTGTTTCAGGTTTGTGACATTCCTATTAGGTAACATAGGCATATGACCACCATATCAATAGTTTAATCCTGTGTAAAACCGATGTGGGTTGAATTTTAAATTCGAAGAAATTAGAAGTAAATCATCATAGCACGAGTCCTTACATGCTGCTAATTGCAGGAAGTTAAGTCTGCTTGTCAAGGAAGTTATTGGAACCCAGTAAATGAAACCTGCGAAGAGAAGCTAAACAAAGTTGACCAGGTAATTCAACTGGTTAACTACTGATAGCGAAAAGTTTCACCTTGATGCTCGATCTAAATTTCTTTTTGATTTACTATCATACAGGAGCTTAAGGATTTAAATATCTACGACGTTCTTGAGCCATGCTACCATCATCCTGAAATAAGATATTCTTCAGCTGATGATATCAGGCTGCCTTCTAGTTTCAGAAGGCTTGGGGAGACCGATAGACCGCTGCATGTGAGGAGGAGAATGTTTGGCCGCTCATGGCCTTTTCAGAAGGCTTGGGGAGACCGATAGACCGCTGCATGTGAGGAGGAGAATGTTTGGCCGCTCATGGCCTTTCAGAGCTACGGTCAGAGCTGGACGTGTTCCAACATGGACAGAGCTGGGACGCAAAAAACCTCTATGCACAGTAAGTACGACAAAGTTTGGGAGCTTTTAAGCTATGTTAGCTAGTGGTGGTTGTTCTAGGTAGAATAGTTATTTGCTTGGTTAAGCCTAGCTTATTCAGATAATTTATGAGCTAGTTTTTAAAAAGTTGAGAAATCTGAACTTTTTAAATAGAACTTAAAAGCTAGCGTATTTGGGATGTTACCAAACATGTACATATGAAAAAGCTTGTTTAAAAGCTATTTTGACTGAAAAAATAGCTACCCTTCCTTCTTGTGTCTTGTAAAAATGGTGGTTAGCATAAATGTTTTTCTCCTTATCAAATTCAAAGCAATTTCTTTATACTCCTTAAATTTTCAAACGAAGTATCACTTTAAAAGTAAGCTGATTATGCGAGACCACAGGATGACCGAGTTGCAACTGTATGGTTGAACAATGAAGCTGTGAGGACTGCAATTCATGCACAACCGGTAAACTAGATATTTACTCATAATGCTGGAAGCATGATCAAGTATCACAAGTACCTTATTTCCTTAGGATATCGTGCACTTATTTTCAGGTATTCCTTTAATTAGTTTGTTTCCTTTAGATGTAACACAATATTTATTTTATTAATTCAAGAAACATTCATTTTAAAAACACAGTATTCACTTTACCAATGAGAAGGTGAGTCTAATTTGTATTTAGATTGTGTAATATCAAATGGTGATCTTTCTATTTTCACATTTTGACTCAGCGGTGACCATGACATGTGCGTGCCTTTTACTGGAAGTGAAGCATGGACTAGATCAATGGGATATAAGATTGTAGATTTATGGAGGCCATGGTATTTTAATGACCAAGTTGCAGGGTATTTACCCTACCTTTTTGCTTATCACTATTTTAGTCATGGAAGAAATTCTATTGTACCGTTGCCAATAAATTTGCATAAACCTTTGTTCGTAACCAAAGTCCCCATGTAATCTTTTCCTTTAAAAGAATATGGATTAATTGCACATAGATCCCCCCCCCTCCCCCCCGCGACACTCCCTAAAAAAAACCAACTTGTTGAACTTACTGCCCCTGTAGCTACCTTGTTGCAAGTAGACCAGGGAGTTAAATTCTTTTGACACTTTTACCCTCACATAGACAGACTAATTTCACCCATGAGCAATATCTTCCCAAATTTCACTTAAGAGAGTAAAAGAGTCAAAATTTTCACTTAGAGGGTAAAATTTTGACACTTTTACCCTCACATGTCTATGTTCATAGTTCAATTAACTTAAAGAAAATTTTGATATTGAAGGCGGTTATTCAAAATCCGGTTTCTCTTCTCAGCATGTGCCACATATTATTAGTCTATGGTTTTTTGTTCTATGGGTTTTTGTAGTAGTCTCGCTGTCGCTGTTCACGCACCTCTTGTTTCAACACCTCTCCGCTTACAAGAATCCTGAGGTTTTGCTTCTCGTCATCGTCGTCGTCATCGGTCATCTTCGTTGTTATTTTTGAGCTTGATTTGGATTTTTTTTAATTTTGTTTTTTTGTCTGTGAAATTACAGGAGCAGAAGTTTCTGGTTGGTGTTATCTTGATGGTCCCTTGCTATGCCATTGAATCGGTATTGTTTCTGCTCCCAGATATATTTATCAATTTTTGTATCATATGCAAACTACTTCAATTAGAGAAATATATCATAACTTTCAAATCAGTAGAACGCTGCCCATGTGCTTTCAGAAAAGTATGTGATAGTTTTGTGATAATACCTCAAAGAGTCCATGGTAGTCACTGAGGACGGCATAACTCATATGTTTTAGTGATTTTATTTCCTCTGTTCATATAACTAAACCTATTTAGTAACTAAACTGGTTTATCTCCGCTTTGTCCGAATAATGTTTAAGTGACTTAAAAAAGACCCCCTTCGCTCATTCCCTGTTGGGATTATGGATAAGGGTGACGAATATGGCTGTGATTAGATGCTCTTGATAACTTTAGCCTTTTTTAGGGGATATAAAGACTTAAATAGGAGAATGCGGTCAAGATGGCTTTGATATATGAATCTTTTGAACCGAAATTGATGAAAGCCAAGATTGAGATTGATACTGACAGGTTCCTAGTGAGTATTTGACATTGAGGAACAAGTTTTTGGAAACAAATAGAGAATATAGTCTTTGACCGAGAAGTTTCATGTTTTGTAATCAAATGTTGATGTACATTGTTTGAATGTTAGTTCGGTACGATATTTTCTGAGTTGAAATGTTGGTAGTGTGGATTTAATACTTTGTAGTTTTTATACTATACTGATGTATGTTGGCACTTATCATTATGGTTGATTATGCTCAACATAATCACTTTTATATTTTGTATTAAAATTTGACTTGGCCATGTTCTTAAAAAGATTGTCCAGGTAATTGAATACTATAATTATTTTGACATAGGAAACCAAGAACAGCTTCGATTGAGCAGTTGCGATTGCTCGATTAAAACCGTTGCGATAGCTCGATTAAAACCGCTGCGATAGCTCGATCCAAACTGTTACGATAGCTCAATCCAAATTGTTGCGTTAGGTCTTTTAAAACTGTTGCATTAGCTCCAACTGTCGCCGTAGCTTTATCAAAATCATACTTATAGCCTACTAAAACCGTTGCGTTAGGTCTTTTAAAACTGTTGCAATAGCTCCAACTGTTGTCGTAGCTTTATCAAAACCATAGCTTTAGCCTACTAAAACCGTTGAGTTAGGTCTTTTAAAACTGTTGTAATATCTAAAAAAACCGCTGCAGTAGCTTGAAAACCGTCGCAATAGCTCAATCAAAACCGCTGCAATAGCTTAAAAACCGTCGCAATAGCTCAATCAAAACCGTTGCAATGGCTTAAAAACCGCTTACCTTTTAAAACCGTTGCGTTAGATGCGGGGGCAACGGTTCAAAAAACCGTCGCAATAGAGTTCAAAACCGTTATGGTAGAGGTAGGGCAACGGCAGCATATGAGGCGGTTTGAGAACCGTCGCACTTGCTCAAAATATGTGGTAGTGGGCTAGATGTGTACACCTTCGAGGAAGGGGTGTAACTCAAACTATGCTTCAAAACAAAGATAAAAAGATTGTGGATCCGTGTGATCATGTTCCAGAGTCCGTTGTTCAAACTATATCACAAAAGGTTAAGAAGGAGATGATGAAAATGTTTGAAGCACAGAAGGTAGAAATGCTTCAAGGTTTCGGCAAACTTTTGACAGAAACATTTGGACAAACAACAGATCCTTCTGCTATTGCAAAACTTATAGCATGCACAAGGTCTCCTAAGGAAGCTAATAGTGCTCTAGAAGATGTTCGTGCTCGCTCCTCTAGCAACAGTCATAACCCTGACACAAGGTAATTTTTATTTTAGTGATCGATGATGTGAATTCCTAAATACAACTATGTTGGATTCAAAATTACCACCGAACCTTAAACTGCATGTGCCAGTAACCAAAAGTTCGATATAAGTACAAGGCAACTTAATTTAAAAACAATTAAATAAGAAAACTCTGAACTTTATGAAAATTAACCTGAAAGTAGGTGTGACTGAGTTGAATGCTCTTGAGACCGCTGGCATTGCTTTTTAACTAGTATACCACTTTCAGCATATTTGCATCTTTTCGTCTAATATCATCCGTTTTGGTACAAATGTGATCGTCATACCGCCCTTCGCCTATTTGATGATTTTGATTTCTTTGTATTCACATTCTGTAATCTTTTTCTTTATATATAGTATCTTATTCGTTTTTCCAAAAAAAGAGGCTGAGTTGAACGCTTCTGAACCAGAAATCATGATTCTTACTTTCTCGTACTCATGGGCAACAAGACCTACGCGCTAGCTAGACAACTGCCCTGCTAATCAGTAATCATAATCACCAACGTCCTCTCAAACCCATGTGAGCAAACAACCCAATTAATTATAAAACCTTTACCTTGAAAAAAGAGGTCAGAGGATGGAATTAGGCATTTTGGGGAAACTTTAACCTAAAAGCACTATGGTAATTAAATATGTGAAATTTAGTTAACTCTACCCCTATCACCTGAGGAGCTATTAATTTAGACAGCGGGGCCTAATTGCAAGCAATGTGATTAATTGAGGGATCTAATAGCAATTCTAATGATTTGGGGGACAAACTCGAAATTATTGAATATACGAGGGACTAGTAATTAAATAATTTATATTAAATAAACCGAACACAATGGGTTTTTGAATATTCCGAAAGTTATGGGCCATTGTCTCATCATTTTCAAAAATTAAGGGGGTTTTCCGAAATTTAGCGTTCTATTACAGACTGCATATCTTGTGGGGCCAGTGAGAGGCAGTTAGTTTTTCAATGGGCCTTAACGTTGACTTGACCAGCCTATATTCATCAGGCCACAATGGCACTTGGGCCAGGCTTTTCCAATTTGCGTCAAGGAAAGTGGATTCTTTTTGTCCTTGTCTATATGCACATTCTGTAGGTAGTAATAACTCATTTAATGTTTTGTCAGCTTATGTATAGTTCTCTTACAGCTATTACATTAAACGGTTTTTCTATAGAGTGCCATTGGGCACTCTATAAGAGAGGAGAGAGATAGAGAGAAATAAATGAAGTCTATAAGAGAGGAGAGAGATAGAGAGAAATAAATGAAGAGAGGATCCCAATGCAAATCAGGGGGCCCCCTCCTCATTCATTTCTCTCTATCTCTCTCATCTCTTATAGAGTGCCCAAGGGCACTCTATAGAAAAACCGTACATTAAAAGCTACTCATCTTCTTCTTCTTTTTTTCGCATCTAAATCGGGACGTCACTTTTCATGTTTTTGGGAACCGGCATCTGGGAAAGATAAGTGGAGGGGTAATTTCATGTTTTTTTTCCAAAATACATTCTTTTTTTTATACTGCTGACGTGAATGGGCCTTGAAACATTAAATGCTACTTTTGGGGCTGAATCACATGGCCCAAAATATAATGGACTGGGTCACAGTTTCTGTTTTTGGGGCATGGACACATTTTTCCCTTTTATTATTTATTATTTTAGTAATCATGATCAAATCTTAACTAATATGGTAATTAACAAACTCTTTAAAAAGAGCATACTTATTAAAATCTAATTAATAACTTAACTAATCAGTTTCCTTTCCAGATTATTCGTAAATTAGTTATATATAATTTGGAAAATAAAATTTTGTAAATGATTTTATTATATATAATTAATATTTTAAGTATTTGTTATAGTAAATAGGAAAAATTTTAATATGCTATATAATTTCAGAAAAGTAAATAGATTTTTTTTTAAACAATCCGACATCTATCATTATTCAAACGCTTTTTTATAGTAAGAAATCGAAATTTGTTATTCATCATTAAAATTAATTATTTGGAATATTTATGCATTTTTTTTAAATTGATAATGTTTTCTACGTGTCGTCCTTAAAATGATTTAGATTTTTGCGGACGGCCCGGATGAATATATTTCATCCAGCCAAAAATTTTAAGTAGAAAAGAGCTGATGTGATAAGTTCTTGGAGAAAAATTAAAGGTTTTGCTTTTAGGTATACATTTATTAGCATATTGCCTAGAATTATAATACAAGCTAGTCTTGTTAATAAAAGTTGAAATAAAATTCTGTTCATTCTTTTGATAATAAAATAAAGGGAAATTTTGTAAAATAGACCGTTTTTATAAAGTAATTAGCAAAATAGACCACTTTTAAAAATAATTAGCAAAATAGACATCTTTTTTGCCAATAGGCCAAAAAGAGGTCGATTTTGAAAAAATAGCTTCAGAAAACATACGGGACTACTAGTCCCGTATGTTTAAAGCTAACTAATCTAATAATTAGTGCACTAATCATTAGTTTAGTTAGCTTTAAACATACGGAACTAGTAGTCCCGTATGTTTTCTGAAGCCATTTTTTTAAAATCGACCTCTTTTGTCAAAAAGAGGTCTATTTTGCTAATTACTCTCAAAAGTGGTCTATTTCGCTAATTATTTTATAAAAACGGTCTATTTTGCAAATTTTCCCTAAAACAAACTACCATAGCAAATAATATGTGAACGATTATATCTAACGGAAAATAAGATAACATGAATCTAGTGTTATAGAAACCAATTACGTATATATTCGTTCCAATAAAATTAACATCATTTGCTCGTCAGCTAGATTTATACTTGTGGATCTCAAAAAGAAGAAATTTTATGGCGATTAAGTTCGCTAGTGCGCGCAACTACCTAGAATTCCACCAAGGCCACCAAAATAAAACTTGAATCCTTTCTCTTCGGCAAAAAACTCCCCCACCCTATAGCAATCGCTTCTGTCGACATAAGAACGAACTTCGTCTTTCGTCAAGTTATAGAGCTCCCCGAGTTTGTTCACGAACCGGATGCTCTGGATCGCTGCTGCCCTACTCTCGCCTTCTTCAGGAAAGTGACCGCTACCCATCGGAGGACCTTCCTCGTCATCGCCGTAGTTGACGCTTCCACCCCAATTGATTTCTTGGGCGCTTTCAGATAGACTTTTGAATAAAGTTTTCGGCCAGTAGCCTATTGGTGAATCGTCCACGTGCAGCCACCAATTTTCAGTTTTCTCATCCTGTCACCATAAATCATAAAGCATATTTAAACCCAGAAGATTAAAGCTGAATAACAAAATATCATTCTTCATAACAATAATAGAAACTTTTATATCCTATATCTTAAGAGAACAATGAAGATATTTAGGATCAGTTGGAAGAAGTCAAAAAGGATAATCGTATCACCTTGTAGATTTTAACTTTGACAACTCTTTGGACTCCATTATATTCCGAAACTGGATAAATCTTAAATCCCGGAAGTTTGGAAGGCTTAGCCCGAGGTACGCAACCTTCGCATTTAAGGTTGTAGCAGCCTGTAGCTCGGTAACCATCAGCCTTGCATACAACGCATCAAGTGTCATAACTATGATAATTAACATGCACCTAAACATTATTATATACCATCATTAAGATAAAACTTACCGTCCAATAAGTGAAAAAATTAGTATACGTGTACCTAGCATGCAAAACGTGAATATATAATCATGTAGTCTAGTAAGTGCTATATATAGTACGATTTCATAATCATTAATTACTCACATGCCATCCGACTACTATTGAATTGAAATATTCAGTCGGACCATCCAAGCCACCAGAAACACTAACAGATACTGTAGTAAACTGGTCATGTTGAACTTTTGGTAACGCGTAGACGACGAGTCCGGTTTCAGTTCCGTATTGTCCTTCGCCACTTCGATATATTGCAAACTGAACATGAAAATGAATAGAAAGGGATGAAAACTACATATATGCGTAGTAAATCAAGATTTTAATTAAGTTCATAAAATGTAATTAAATAAACTAATCAATTTCAAATAACTTGCGAATTAGTCTCACATGTTGAAGGCGATTAGATACGGCATTCATAGCAATAGTATCATTAGAAGTATAATTTTTTCCTCGAAACTGAACCTTTTCTCTGCCATCTATTTTATGGGAGTCCTTGTTCTGCATCCAAAAAATATTTCCAGCGTAAAAATTTGAGGTTACTCCCAAAAAATAATTTTTTTTGGTATACATATATAGATAATCGGATGCAAGAACAACAGTTTTATCACTAGAAGTGAATATCCATAAAAATGCATGTATTAACCAATTAAACAATCAGTGAATTAAAGTGGCACAATCTATCCTATTAATTGGACGCAAAGAATAAGAAAAAGTGTGTGTGTGTGTGTGTGTGTGTATATATATATATATATATATATATATATATATATATATATATATATATATATATATATATATATATATATATATATATATATATATATATATATATCAGAGTGGTTCGTTCCCTGCTCTCTATTACCATCAAGCATCAACTCCTCCATTTGCCACAAAGGGCAAGGTAAAGGAAAATAAGCCCTACACCGTAGAGCCGTGTGAATGCCATTTTGTTTATTTTCTCGCTTGAGGACAATGGTTAAGGTCATGTATGCAGTCCTTTAATAGGATGGATACAAATATGGTTACTACATGATTTCCATTTAGGTTTCTATAATTAGATGGAGATATATATATAATATAATATATTATATAATATATATATATATATATATATTGAGTTCCAAATCTTATTTACGGATGAATTTATTAGCACAAGCACAAATTTTTGTCAAGGGTTTTTTTTCCTTTTTTCCTTTTCCCTTCCATGCTTAGCTGTTGAATCATTAATACGCACATTTCTTTCCATTTCTCATCAAAATATATAAGGAATGAAATATATTCGTGTGGAAGCTGGTTCAATTTATTTAATTAAAAGCCAAAACGTATCCCTTAGCCCATCAAATCTGACAGCTTATAATATTTATGCCAAATTTTGAGAGGTGATCGATTAATTGGGTTGTTTGCTCTGGTCACATGGGGTTTGAGAGAGGTTGCGGGTGATCATGCATGATTACTGATTAGTAGGGCAGTTGGCTTAGCTAGCCCAAGCTAGTACTCTAGGCAACTACTTCTAATCCTAGCTACGATATATAGCACCATCGATCAGCAACTTAACTTCTTCAAGAAAAGAAAAGCTAGCTAGCTTCTCTACGTACGTACCGACTGACGCCCGCGTGAAATTAAGCAAGCTCAAAGCAGTCTAGCCAATTAAGCAGCAGGAACCCACCACCACCAATAGCAGTTTCTTCTGGGAACCTTAATTAGGAGTGTGGGGCCGGGCCGAGGCGCCCAATTAACTAATCTGCTTTGTGCATGCGAGAAGAAGCATATCATTATCCGCCTTTCTTCCTTCCTTCCCTCCCTCCAGGCCAGTTGGAAGGACCGACACAAATTAATTAAAGGCAAATGCTTAATAGAGACTGTCGGATGCACCTAAGCTCTGTGGCTTGACGAGCTCCTCCTCCTCCTCCTTCATTTTTTGATTAATTCGTTTATGCACAATTAATTGGCTTCTTCAGGCCCCATCCCCTACTCCTCTGCATTCACCTCCGCTCGTCCCTACGTTTCAAGCCACCCCCCTCCCCTCCCGAAGCACCCGGCCTTATCCCTACTTATCAAGCTCCCCTTCCCCTCCTGAACCACCACCACCTTCCCTTCTCCACCCCCCCAGAATCATCAAGCCCATGCGGCGGCATCCCCGACTCACTGATTCAACACCACCACCCAAGAAATTACACGGGCCAAAGGTAATCGGGATCGCCTTCGCTTTCGCTGCTGGTGTAATCATCTTCGCACTCGCCGTCGCCGCGTCGTCAGCAGGATGCTCAACAGCTGTCGACTGATCAACAGCAGGAACGTCGACAATCGGAGGTTGGGCTTCCTCTGGCACCTAGCACGGGCAGCAACCAAGCGAGCCTCGGCTACCAACAGCACGAAATCCAGCCGGGGTTTATTCCCGGGATGCGTCCTGACACCATTGGCACGCTCCGACAGATCTCATATGTCCCTACGCCGATACTACCCGGCAGGGAGCTCGACCACATTTGCTGCATGTGCAGGGAACCATACTTCGCTACCGACCGACTCGTCATCTTGGAACCATGCCACCACACCGCACACATCAAGTGTGCGTGCCGCGCCCTGCCCACCCGTGGAGCATGTCCCATCTGCGAAGCCGCCGTCCTCCCTTATCGGCCGGCCTCTAGCTCATAGCTAGTTACTCCTGTTAAGATGTTGTAGTAGGCTTAGTTTACTGTTTTAATTAGTTTTAGTTTTCATAAAAGTATATAAGAAATTTTACAAAAAATAATTACCTAGTCCCGCACACGTTCTCGAGTTTGAGGAGTCAATGAAAGTGATTGCCTAAAAAAAGTTCTTAAATAGCTTTCACTTGTGACTCCAACTCAGACATCATTTGTTGTTGCTCCTGCTCATCTAAGCGTTGTTGAAGCATCTGGTTCTTTCTCTTTTCTTATATAACCTGTGCTTCCAGATCAGATCGACTAGGGAGCGGTCCTCTCAAAATTTTCGAAGTAGTCCCGCCACCAAATACAGTGATGTGACCATGAGATTGCTTCCCCCAGATTTTCTCAACTATCTCAATGTCAGAAAGTGAAGGATTTGCTTGTTTGACTTGAACAATTTGATCCTATAAAAATTAAATTCATATGTTAGTACTATATAATGCATCATTATCAAACTTAAACACATATTCTACTTACATATTTATCTTGATCCCCAGTATCTAGTGTTTCATTAGCTTTCTTTCGAGTTTCATGAAACATTTTTGCCACATCAGGTGGATTTCCTGACTTGCCACCCTTATTCAAATATTAAATAAAAATGAGTACAGCATCAAACTAAAAAACAAAGTAGTTTTAAATAAATAGGAAATTAGTTTTGAATGTATACCAATTCACACGCAATTTGTCTAAAGGGTTTGCTGCTCGTGTGGTGGAGCATCTTTTCTTTTGCCTTTGTTAAGTGTATTTTGTTGGCTTGCTTTCTATACATCAAGATTAAAAGATAATTTCAACAATCCAACAATATACATGGAACAAAATTAATAAAATTAGGAGATTAATACCTGAAATTTTGAAGAAAAATAATGTTCCTTAACTAGCCAATCCCAGTCATCAACACTCACTTCTATAGGTTTATTACAGCAATGCAGAAAGAGAAGGTGAGGAAGGTGATCACGATGATCTCCGGTCCATGTAATTTCTTGGGTGGTGATCAGGAGTTGGGGATGTTGCAGGGGCTTCGGGAGGGGAAGGGGGAGCATGATGCTGGGGGACAAGACCGGGTGCTTCAGGAGGTGAGGATGGCACGTGATGCTTAGGGACGAGCGGAGGTGAATGCAGAGGAGGAGCAAGGGATGGGGCTGAAGAAGCCATTAGTTGTGCACGAATGAATTGATCAAGAATGAAGATGAAGAAGAAGAAAGAGAAGCTACAGAGCAGGTAAAGGTTTATCGGGATGCTGCAGGGCGGGGGGCATGTAAGGTGAGGGCAGTGGAGTGCCAACTGAAGTAGTACAAGTCTTCTGAACCAGAAATCATGATTCTTAGCTACGAGACCTACGCCCTAGCTAGCCAGCTGCAGAAATCATAATCATCACACCAGCCCAATTAATCGACCTCTCAAAATTTGACATAATAAGCTGTCAGATTTGAAGAGCACAAGCACAAATTTTTGTCAAGGGTTTTTTTTTTCCTTTTTCCTTTTTCCTTCCATGCTTAGCTGTTGAATCATTAATACGCACATTTCTTTCCATTTCTCATCAAAATAAACAAGGAATGAAATATATTTGTGTGGAAGCTAGTTCAATTTAATTAAGTCAAGAAGTATCCTTTAGCTCTTAAAATCTGACAGCTTATTATGCCAAATTTTGAGAGGTCAATTAATTAGGCTGGTGTGATGATCATGATTTCTGCAGCTGGCTAGCTAGGGCGTAGGTCTCGTAGCTAAGAATCATGATTTCTGATTCAGAAGACTTGTACTACTTCAGTTGGCATTCCACTGCCCTCACCTTACATGCCCCCCGCCCTGCAGCATCCCGATTAACATTTACCTGCTCTGTAGCTTCTCTTTCTTCTTCATCTTCATTCTTGATCAATTCATTCATGCATAACTAATGGCTTATTCAGCCCCATCGCCTGCTCCTCTGCATTCACCTCCGCTCGTCCCTAAGCATCACGTGCCATCCTCACCTCCTGAAGCACCCGACCTTGTCCCCCAGCATCATGCTCCCCCTTCCCCTCCCGAAGCCTCTGCAGCATCCCCAACTCCTGATCAACCACCACCAAAGAAATTACATGGACCGGAGATCATCGTGATCGCCTTCCTCACCTTCTCTTTCTGCATTGTTGTAATCATCTTCGCGCTCTACCAACGCCGCCGCCGCCGGGCCGAGCTTCCTCTAGCCCCTAGCACCAGCAGCCAGGCGAGCCTCGGCTTCAAACAGCATGAAATCCAGCCGGGGTTCATTCCCGGGATGCATCCTGAGGCTATTGGCACGCTCCGGCAGATCTCGTACGTTCCTACGCCGATTCTACCAGGCAGGGAGCTCTATCATATGTGTTTTAGTTGTTTTTATGTAATAAGGGCCAGTTGCCTGAGTAGATGTTGTAATCAAATGTTAGATAAATAGCATGGGCCAATATTATAAAATAAATGTTTTGGCTGCACGAAATAAATGGACTGGACTTTGTTAATTAAAGGTGAGAGAATAAAGCAAAGGGACTTAGAAAGAAACAATCGGGCTAAACTTTGTTAAAATAGAGTGTGCACTGGACAAATAGCGGCTAAACTTTGTTAAATGAAAATGAGAAACAAAATAAAGTAGAGCTTGAGCAAAATAAGCGGCATGAACTTTGTTAAATAAAGTGTGTGCTGGACAAATTAAGTGGCCTGGACTCTTGTTAAATAAAAATAGGCTATTGATTATGAATAAAAATGGGTCAGACTTTGATAAATTAATTATGAATAAGTAGGTGAACAGTGAAGGGAACAAGACATTCTATTAAATAATGTCTAAAGCTCTATAATTTATAATTCGGATCAGCTAAACAATGGTGAAACTTTGGAGCGTTAAAGTGCAAATAACTCTAATGCTCGTGATTCTATTGTCGCTACTCTCCCCTGTGCTTTTATTTACTGTTGTCTGCATAAATTAAGATCGATCACAGGCACATATATTATATTATGAGATAAATAGCTCCACTTGCTAAAAGCAAGTTATATATTAACTATCCCAATTTTATATTAACCAAAGTTTTATCACATCTAAGACATTTCTCTTTTCTCTGCTTGATATGCAAATTATGAGCACATTTAAGAGGTTTTGAAGCCTCAAACCGAAATGTTAATTAAGGCATGCAATGACATTACAATAAAGTCATTGGTTTTTTTTATTTTTTTTTTATTTTTATTTTACTTTTTACGTAGGTAGGACACATCTCAGTTATGGTACCATACTATAAGCATCTAGCTTTTAGGGTTTAGGAGCACTTAAATACCCTATAGTTTCTCTGTAATAAAAATAGACTTAGTATCAGAAACGCAAAACACCCCACACCCCCACCGCCCCAACCCAAAACGGAAAAAAAAACTTTGGATGATTATCAGAAAACACACCTTAATTTTTAAAAATCTTGTCACTGAAAGTAAAGCTTTACTGACATTATATAAACAAACATTGTCACTAAAAGTAAAGTTTAGTGACGGATGTTTTTTATGGTCACAGAATTGTTATGTTTCAGTGACGAGAATTCATTGTTGTTACTGAAAGTTTCACTGAAAGTCGACAGCGCCAATTAATTTTAACTAGTTGTGACAATATATATTATAAAAGTTGACACAAAAGCCTTTTAGTGACGAGGCGTAGTTGTCACTAAAGCCTTTTAGTGACAAAACTCTTATAAGACCTAAAAAAATATAAACCTATCTAAGCCGCTCCTAGTCAATGACAATGAACGGTTGTTCCTCGTTGATTTTTCAATCTATGCCTCTTTTGATTATCAGAAAACACCCCTTAATTTTTAAAAATCAAAAAATTCTCCTTAAATTTAGGAGTTATCAGAAACTCCCTTTAAATTTACGGTTTTATCATAAAACCCCCTTAACAACTTTATGTGTTAAACTAATTTTTTATTTAAGTTTTTATGCGAGAAATAAGATTAAAATGCTAAACTATTTTTTTAAATGTTTTTATCGCGATTCCTTTTGCTTTTTCATTCTAATCAAACAAGAGAAGTATGTTTTCCTGCTCGTCTACTTTAGGGTTTCTAATGGTAATACAGTGAAAATCAGCACGGCCAACAAATTTGTCAAAGAGAAGAGAACAGAAGGAGCTTGCTTAACGAGGGGCACGAGCGGACGGGGTGCTGGGCCCGGGACGCCCGAGCGGGCCAGTTGGAACGGAACTTCTCGTACAGCCTCTCGGCGCGGTGCTCTGGGGAGAGGGAGCGGACGTCATCGAACGGAACTTCTCGTACAGCCTCTCGGCGCGGTGCTCTGGGGAGAGGGAGCGGACGTCATCGTCGAGGCTGAGGGTGGACTCGTAGCCCTTGGTGAGGAGGGGGTTGACCCAGTGCCATGTGGCGAGCGACAGAAGGGACGACGTGCTGTAGCCTGTTACGTTGGTTGGCTGGAACCCGTCCGGTTCGGTTTTGAACCCGTTGCTTGTCTCGGTTACTACGCCGATCAAGCCATTGACAGCGAAGGTTATCGACAAGTAGGAGGAAAGCTGGAGAGAGGTAGTCGTCTGGCTGGATCGGGTCACCTCCGGTGAGTCTGAGCACTGAAGAACCCACGATCAAAGCGGTGAGAATATATAAGCGAGATGAGCCAGTAGGCTCGGAGGGTGAGCGGGTGAGCAGAGGTTCGGAGGGTGAGCCTGTGAGCAGATTGAGGCTCGGAACCGCTTCTCGTGCGCTATATATATAAGAGCGGCCACGGCGATCCACACAAGGAACTGGACGACGACGAAGGACGACTCCACGACGTGCCAAGGGGACGTCGAACTTGTTTAACGATGTCGAAGGAAGAAGTTGGAGGAGGAAGGGTGTATATATAGGAATCAGCTAGCTGCAATTTCGTATGAGCTTACAGGCATAATATGTAACTGCGCCTTCAGTGTGAACAGCTAGACTTAAGAGCTGAAGGTTGTCTTTGAACATTATGTGAACAGACCAGTATTTTTGGAACTTTTGGAAAAGAGTGGGGAGGTTATCAACGCGTACGTCTCTAAATAGCAGTCTCTAAATATAGTATGACAGGGGGAGGTTATCAACGCGTACGTCTCAAAATACCCATGAACTATTTTTGAACTTTTCATACTGAACTCCAAATAATTAAGTTCTTTGAAATCTTCTTGAGATAAAAAAATCCAAATTAGGATGGAGGACTTGGTAGCTGTAAATGACAAATGACAAAGTTAAAAAAAATCCTCACAAAGAAAATTTCATTTTTTTACGGTTATATGTAGTTAGAGGGCTTGGTGAGAAAAATCTAAAATTCCTGGTACTTATATGAAATTAACACTTTTATATTTCTGACCTACGCCCTTTAGGTGGTCTAATATGATATACTATTTATATAAGAGATAATAAAATTTGATGGAAAAATATGAATCCTACACCGAAATTGATTTTGGGGTACATTTCCATAACCCTGTAAGTTGGGTTGTTTTTAAGATGATCCCCTTAAGATTAGGTTGAAGAATCCATCTCTAATTTCAATTGCTCTAATCAAATTAATACTAGGAGGAAGAAGAACATCCCCAATTGAACCCTAATTGTTTTGTATATTCCTCTAATACCAAATAATACTCCAACGTAAAAAAGGTTAAATCTTTATCATCACATTGAAATCAATTCCTGAAACTAAAAAATAAATTTCAACATTCAATCAAGATAGATCATGCTGATAACTCAAGGTCCAGCAAGAGCTTAATTTTAGAGGTATAGTAAGCTACAGTATCCTAGAGGCTAACGTCGTCATCCTTGAAGGCAGTCGATAAACGATACCAAATAGAGGCTAATCGAGTTTGTTGGCGAGAGCTCGTGGGCTATTGCGAGAGTGAAAGAAAGAAAGATTATGAGGACAAGAGCTTAATATTGGAGGAGAAACTTATTTTTCATGATAGATGAGGGATTTGTGAGGGTAGAAGAGGTTGTATTTATAGATTGATTGTTTGGCGGTTATAAGATGGAGGAGATGAAGAACACTTCATAAGTAATTATGAGGTGTTAATAGGTTGAGAAAAGCTTAATTAGTGGAGTCCGAAAGATTATGA